AAAATAAATATAAAAAATACGTACAAACAAAAACGAACACATGAAAGTGCTGGGAAATTATTTTCAATTTTGTGAAAAATTCATAAAATGTTGCTTAGACCATTCTGTCAGTTATGCATTTTCATTGTATTCTTACATACACTAATTGCATTATGTATGAGTATGACTGATTTTATGAAATTGTATGATTTATATCGGTGGTTTTAAACATTTGTAATATTAGAAAAAATTCATCTGAAGTATTAAATGTACGAGTATGTTTGTATGTACAAATATATATAAATTAATTATATATATTTGGACATACAAACAAATATATATAAATATATTAGTTTATATACATCATACAGACGAAAATATGTTACATACGAATGTACATACATACATTTTAGTTCAATTATAATTTATATATTGTGTATATGTATATGTACATATGTACATACATATGTACGTACTAAATGTGTATAAAATTTAATTGCGGAGACCAAAAACAATTTGATTTGAATAAAATGTCAATTATGTATGTACTCATGCAAGAACAAGGCGTGCAAGAACTGAATGCAATGATTTTTTAGTATCTGTCAATGTTATCCATTCGATTTTACTTTGCCTCAAATAATATCTTTTTTGTTAAATATGCGAAAACTATTATACAAAAATACCAAATTTAATTTATTTGCAACAGTCTAGTTTTCGCTTAAAAAATAAAAAATAACATGCTGAAATAAATTTAAAATTAATAAAATTAATATAAAATCATAACCATCAAATTTTGTTTCTTGGGAATTGTAAACATGGCAACATTGCAATTTTATACATAAGCAGATAATTTATGCGAATCCAATTGGTCAAATTTGAATATCAACGGCAAACATCGAGAAAAAGAAGTATTATGACAAGTTTATGCTATAATACTTATGCATTACAAAAACACTATTGAATTCTAGCCGCGATAAATGTATAAAAAAAATATTAAACCAATATTTTAAAAGACTTTACAAAACCGGACTAAAAATACTTGGTTAATGAAAATGGAGCACTCATTTGAACAAAATTTAAAATGCATCATTTTAAAGAAAAGAGAAAAAGTTCCTTCTCTTTACATTATTGACATGAAAATTCTCTTAACTTCACATAACATAAAAGTCTTTTAACTTTTTTGATTTTTTACTGTTACAGATAACAGCAAAAAATCAAAAGAGTTTATCACAATACAGCAAAAAAATATCTTAACAGAAATGTTTCTGTTATATTTCAATGCTTTCAATTTTTAATATTTTACATACAGCCATAATTATTAGTTCTTTAACAGGTTTAGAATCACAAATTAATTTTGGGACTTTGGGAGAGCAAATAGAAAAAAAAGCTATTTTATTCGTTCGTAGATTAAATATTAAGATCGATTGTATGTACCTAAATTAATTAATATATTATAAGATGATTATATACCTAGACTGATTTTTCAAGCAGAGAGCAAAACCAAAATTAAATTTCTTAGTTTTAATTTAATTATAGTACTATATATATATATATTCCTATGAATAAAGTGACCTCACTTACCCTATGACAACAAAAAAAATAACTTACCTAAGGGAATTTTTTGTATAAAAATTAGTGAACGATTGCATTAGTGTGATGTAAACGGAGAAAAAATCGTGTTCTCAAGTATAAAATGAGAAAAAAGTGTGGAAATTTAAATATTGAGAGCGGAAAAATAAATAAAATATTTTTAACATTTTTTTTTGTTAAATATTAATATATAAACATATACAAAAAAAATATTAAATTCTTTTTCGTAAAAAAAGTGTATATTTTAATTGTATAGTGAGCAAAATGAGAGAGAAAGGAACGAAACTTAGTGAAGATTTCAAAAAGAAGAAATAATTTATCGATCAGTCCAAATAGACGGATTCGGTCTATTACAAACATACATATGTAAAGATTTAGTCTTAGATTTTGTAAGCGGTACCTAGCTGATATTTGCTTACGGATGTATAAGGAAATATTCAGTTATGCCAGATTTTGCATTTACTCATATTACCCAAACACACATGTATACATATATGTATGTATTAATATATGTATTTATTAAAATCAAAATTATTTATGGTGTTGAGTATATTCTTTAGGTTATTTTCTAAATTTTGAGAATGGTATTTTATAAATGAACAATAAATATTATGCCTTGATGGAGTTGTAGTAGTGTACAAATGAAATTTTTCCTCATATTTGCTCTTCTCTCTTTATATATTTTATTAATTTGTTATTTTAATAAAATTCATATTGAACTTTTGTAAATATATCGAATCTTGTACTTGGACATTGCGAGCAACTTTTTTCTTATAAAAGGCTAATCCATTAGGTTCCTTAACAATAATAGGTTTATTAGCTAACAATATTTTTTTCCTGAAAATTATTTCTCTTTTATTTTGTATTTCTTTATGCATTGACAAAAAGAAAAAGAAATAATGTTATATCTGCATATTTCTTAATATGTTGCATATAAATTCAAATTCATGTACATGTGTATGATTTCGAATATAACGAATGTACATATGTATGTATACGAATTAAAAAAAAGAAAAATATTTTGTTAAGCTTAGTGTTCAGAGAGAGAATTTCTTTGAATTTATTCTTTTGCTTTTGAAATACCCAATATCATTTTATTACAGTAACATTATCTTTTAGTCTTACACACACATATGTGTCATGTAGTCAGTTTCTCGCATGTGACTGACAAGCACGTGTGAAGAAATATATTCATTTTTATAATAACTGACTTTAGTCTAACCGATAAAAAAAACTTCTCTCATTGAAAAAGAGAGTAGCAAAATTCTTTATATAAGTTTTTATTTCTTAGTTTGTTATGTGTATTTGGGTTTTTAAAGTTCATCTCATTGTTGTCAAAAAGAGAATTTTTGTGAAAAATTTTATTAAAGTGAAATTATTTAGTGAAAATTTAGTAAAAAATTTTTTTACTGTTTAACAATAAAAATTATGTCTAAGGAAAGAAGAAAATGTGTTATCAAAAATTGTCAAGCTAATAAAAAACAAATCCCCGGTTTAAGATTTTTTAGATTTCCTAAAAAAGGAACGGAAAGATATTATAAATGGATTTACCATGCAGGAGATTCATGTCCCAATATAGAAAATATAAAAAGACCTTATATGTGTAGTACACATTTTGATTCGCATTGCTTTGGTAAAAAATTAATAAAAGATGCTTGTCCCACAATGTATTTAGGTGATTTTAAATTTAATCCTCAAAATGCAAATAAAACATATGAAAGACGAAACACTAATAAAATTCAAGAATCAATAATTCAAGAATCAATAATTCAAAATGATAATTCAAATGTAACTTCAAATGATTCGAGTGTTGAAGATCAATCCACTATATCTTCACAAAGTGATTCCTCTAGTAAAAATTTAAAAGTAATGAAATTAAGAAAAACTTCTTCAGATTCTCTCAAAAATAAAAAAAATATAATTTCTTATGTAAGACAAATTAAAAAACTAAAAAATACCGTAAATAATTTGACTATAAAGATTAAAAGAGGTAAGTAAATTTGAAAAAAAAATTTAATATTTATTACTTTGATTTTTCTTCTCTTTCCCCTCTCTCTTTCTCTCTTGACTCTTTCGAAGCAAGAAACCTAAAATTTAAAATAAAAAAACAAAAATCATAATGTTTTCATATACAAAAATCAAAATCACATCGTTCATGTAACAAAGTCAAATCTCAAAATTAATAGAGAATTCACCGTTCTACGAATTCGCATATATATAACACTACATAAATATCAATATGGTAAATAATATATTATGAAGTATGTATCTGACCATGTGGCATGTATGAATGTATGAGTTCGAATGTATACTTAAAACAATAAATGCCTATAAACTATAAACGAAGACGCTCTGTTATTCTTGTATGTTATGTGTTATCTTTATGTAGATTATTATGTTATTCTCCAATTTTATATAAAATTTTCTCTAAATTCTTGTCAAGTTTAACGTTCACTTTAATACAAAAATCTACCACTATTATATTCTGTCCAAAAATGAGAAATTAAACGTTTTGTTATAAAAATAAACCTACACATATCCATATGTATTTCTGTAAATAAGTAATTTAACAGTTATTTTATAAAAACAATTTGTAATATTTTGGTTGCATTAATAAGTTTTTTCATATAAATGCAATATATCGCGATATATAGCGAAAATTATTTATATTCGTAAACTGTGCTATATTTACATATATTCATAAAAAAATGTTGGTAATCAACATTGTTCATTAAATTTACCAAAAAAATATTTAAATTATCATAACTAGCGAAGTTATTCAGGAAGTATAGCCATCAGCAGCTAAACAGCCTTCACTTTCTTATACATTTTTTAAAAGCCTGACCCATTTAAAATTGAATTAAGGGTAAGAAAACATAATTTTAATAAAATTTAAACCTTATCCATTCTACCTTTAGACTGGTTCTATGCTTATATAATTTTTTAATTAAAAAGATAGCACAAATAATTTTTGGGGTGACTGTTGATATCAATAAATACATACATATGCATGCATGAATGTATGGCTGACCCATTCATACTTATTAAACTCAAATTACAAATTCTTCTCTTTACAATTTACTCTGAATTTTTAAATTTTGAGAACTTTATTTTATAAATGAGTAATAAATATGACATTTAAATGTAGTAGTAATAATAGTAGTAATAATATCCATACACATTATTTTTCATTTTTACAATAACCGACTTTAGTGTAACCGACAAAAAAAAGGAAAAAAAGCTTCTCTCGTTGAGAGAGTGACAAAATTCTTTTAAAGTGCTTATTTATTAGTTTGTTTTGCGTATTTGGGTTTTGATAGTTCATGTCACAATAACAACGCTTGTTTTCATCATACAAGAAATTTTGTTGTTTGTGGAGAATTTTATTAAAATTTAATAAATATTTTCTTGACATTTCAAATTTTTAATAACAAATTAATAAAAATTATGTCTTGGGAAAGAACTAAATGTGTAATCAAACATTGTCAGGCTACTAAAAAAAAATTTCCTGAATTAAGATTTTTTGAGTTTCCTAAAAGAGGAACTGAAAGATATTTAAAATGGCTATGTAATGCAGGAGATTCATGTCCCAATATAGAAGATAGAAAAAGACCTTATATATGTAGCAGACATTTTGAATCGTATTGGATGGGCAAAAAATGGTTGAGAAGAGATGCTTGTCCCACAATATTTTCAGAAGATTTTAAATTTAATCCTCAGAATGCAAATAAAACATATGAAAGACGAAGTATTTTTAAAATTCAAGAACCAAGAATTCAAAATGACAATGCAAATGCAACTCATGATTCGAGTGTCGAAGATCAAGTCATTACATCTTCTCAAAGTGATTCCTCTAGTAAAAATTTAAAAATAGTGAAATTTAGAAAAACTTCCTCAGATTCTCTCAAAAATAAAAAAAGCGTGATTTTTTATGTAAGACAAATTAAAAAATTGAAAAAAATCTTAAATGAGTTGACTTTAAAGATTAAAAGGGGTGAGTACTTTCAAAAAACAAATAAAAATCACAATATTTTTTATACACAAAAATCAAAATCACATCGCATCATCACATGTAATAAACCCTTAAGGCGTTGGCAGACACGAAATTTTTAGTTTTGCAATCACTGTTTCATTGTAAAAATCTATTTTTGACATTTTCATATGTCACTTTAGTTAGTAACAAATTCGGTTATGTAATAATTATGTGATATATTTCTCTTAATTTTTAGATGTCACACCTCGAACGCTTTTCATTATAATGTAAATATAATGATGCTTTATCTTGGACAGACTTATTGTGTATGCTAACAAGCACTAGATCTTTTATTTTCGTTACATTAATTCTTATTATGTTCCAGAGTACTTACACATATTTTAATTATTTTATTATTTCTATTCAATATTATTATGTAGGTAAAGAAGTTCTAAAATATTCTTTTCGACACCGAGACGCACTAATAAGAAACAATAAACGGGAAAATGAAGAAGGCTTTCAATTTCAAGATGAATGTTCAAGTGATACCAGTAGTAATTCAGCAAAAACAGGTACATGCAAATTAAAAAACAAAATATTTTAAGTAAATATGTTCATTTTTCAACTATTTATTTATTTATTTATTCATACCTATATATAGATAACTTAATAATAAAATAAAAATTATGTCAAACACCATCGAATTTGACGCTAACTTGACATATGTGCAGACAAAAATTTCAGTAGGCATTTAAAAAAGAATAGGAGAGAAAAATCAAGATCTAGTCGGGATATTATTTTTTTTGTTATAATTAAAGGTACCCAGTTGATTAAAGTAGAGTTGCCAGAATATATTATATATTTGTTTACCAAAATGTTAAGACAAAAAGTAGATTGCATATTCTGCGTAAAAATTTTGCAGTTTTGTTAGACGTCCAAAATTTTATTTCTTTAGAATATTTTGTTCCAGGCAATTTGGTTTAAAATTAATTTTGAATCGAATTTTTTTTATACTCAAAAATATTGTGAGACTCTCGAATTTATACCGTTTTCAACATAAAATAAGAATATTTGGAAGGAATTTAATTATAAAATTTTTAATTTTAAATTTAATTTTAAATTCAATTTCATTATATTAATAATAAATATATAATAATTACATAAATAATTAATTTTAAATTAGCCTACAAAAATTATTGTTGCAAAACTATGCATTTTATGGATTTTGGCTTTCTTTGTTTACATTTGGTTCTATTTTTTTTTTAAATTTGGTCCATTAATTTTTTCTTTGAGTGGCAACTCTGATCTTGTCGTAATAAATATTGCCATACATATGTTAGGTATACATTTATGCTTACAATATGTTATACAGTCCCTCGTATTGTAGGTGAATATTAAATGCAAGTTTAATATCCAATTCCCAAATTTTAGAATTAATAGAATAACTGACCAGACCGCAGAGCCAACCTTTTTCTTTTCCGCTGTTCCAGACTGAACCGCATGGTGGTGACAATACGATTTTGTACTCCAGTTCTTTATTTTCTTTCTTCTTTATAAAAATATCGTACAAAATTAAAATAAATGTGCTCTCATAGAAATTCTTGCTAAAACATAAACATTTTAAAATTACCATGATGCGAATGTATACCAAAACAATTGGTAAATGACATCCAACACAATGATTTGTGATTGTGTATAATAATACAAACACATAAAACATAAAACATAATGTAAAAATATGCAATGTTTGTTATTAAATTTTTTTGTATATGAGAAGTGACCACATTTACTATTTATGTATGTATCTATGTACATACATTTATTTAAAGAAAATATTTTTACAAAAATGTTTTGTTTTTCATATAGGCTCAAAAATTCCAAGAGAAGTGAAAAAAGTAGCAAAATCTTCTCAAATCCCGAAAATCCAAACGGAAAAGAACGATGAATTTCAAGTAAATAATGAATGCTTAGTTGATATTGGAGCAGCTTCACAGCAGAATGAAATAGGTCTGGAAATACATACATATGTATAGATAAATGAAATAATTGTGTGAAAAATTATTTAAATTACATAATTTTTTTTTTTTACTAATTCGATATACATATATGTATGTAGATCCATTGAGTTCAATTAAAGAGGAAATAGAAGAAACCTCTTATAGCATAGAAGAAAATTTAAATTTACCATCAACTTCCCCAGGTAAATGAACAGTAACAAAAATGAACAAAGATTTTAATATAAAAAAAATTTCAATTGAATTCAATAGAAGTAACTGCTTTAAAGGCTTGTGAACAAAATCAGGATTTCCCAGTAAAAATCGAATTGGAAAGTTTAGATGATCCTTTTCAAACAAATGAGTGCCTAGTAAACGTTAATAATCCCTTAGTAGCAAATGAAATAGGTAAGAAAGAAAAATTAGAAGAAATGAATTGAATCCATTTTTTTTTTTCACATGCAAGATCCCCTAATCTCAGTCAAGGACGAAATAGAAGAAAAACCAAATTTACCTGAAGGAGGTAAGGAAATATTAAGTCAGTAATTTATAAAGAGATTAAAAATTATGGATTGTAATAAAATATTTTGTATTTTAAAGGTTCTAGTGACGGAGAGGAACGTAAAAGAAGACAGTCAGATGAACCAGATAAAAATGTTGATTGTGGAAATTGTAAAAAATTTAAAGAAGAAAGTGATTTTTATAAGAAAGAGTACCTTTCTATGAAAGAGAAATGTTCGCAAATTTTAGAAAGAGTTAAAAGTCGTAAGTAATTTAACAGTTACATTAGATTTATTTTTCTTATTTTATTAAAATGTTTCATCTCTGATTTATTTAGATGCAGTTACAATGGAATCGATTGTTCAAAGCAATAAATTTGGTACCACAGAACTTAATAATTTAAATACTGGAAAAATTAAATTAGCTGAAAAAGTGAAAGAGAATGAAATTAAGTTATTAAAACAAATTGAAACATTAAAGGCAGAACTACATGTTTTTAAATACACAAAATGTTCATTAAAAGTATTAAAAAATAATAATTGATTTTTTTTTATTTTGCAACACATTTAAAATTATAATAAACGTTATATTTAATTAAAATTAAAATAAAATTAAACATAAAAATTTTTCTAATGCATTTATTATAAAACATTATTGATGAATTTTATTAATTTAATTCATATGAATAAATTCATAAATGAATATTTTTATCCGATTATATCTACATATACATATATACGAGTACATAAATGTACGTCTGTTTGTACTTAATGTTCAAGAAGACCCTATTTATTTTGATATTATTTTTAAGATAAGCCTTATACTCCTTCTCTTACGATTTTTACTACCAAATCTTAATTTAATTCTCCAAGGCTTGTGGGAGACAGCCGCTTCTGTTGAATTAAATAGAATTTTTTGTATATTAAAATCTTTAGTTATTTCTGTTATTGTTCATTGGAACCTGGAAAAGTTGTTGGTAAATTTAAATTTTCTTCTATCCTATAAGAGGTTTCTTCTATTTCCTCTTTAATTGAAATCAATGGCTCTATATGTATTTAATTCTGTTCTAAAACTCGTCAAGTAAACACTCATCCTTTATTTGGATTTGGTGAACCATTGTTTTCCGTTTTGGTTTTCGAGATTTGTGTACTACAGCTAACTGCTATTGTATTTCTTTTTTCCCCTTCTTTTTAAATCTTTGAATCTGTGTGAAAAACAAATTATTTTTTAAAAAATATTTTATTTAAATGAATGTGTACATAGATACAAAAAAAGGAAATTTATAACTACTAAATTATAGAGGATCCTCGTTTGCTGATAAATAGCATTTATCTGTTAAAGTTGTAATCATGTGAATTTTTAAAGAGCTTTATTTGACAGTTTTTGAGCGTCCTTTTTACAAATATCGGCAAGAAATACAGGATTGTAGAGAATTCATTTGTAATCCATTTTAAAATAAGTTTAGAAAATTGCCTTTTCTGATTATTATGTAAAGATAGATGACATTATACAAATACACACAAAAAAGTTATCTTGGACAAAAAAAATTAAAGAATTGTATCTGGTTTTAAATGATTGTTTAAATTCTTCCACGTCGGTTTCTAATAACTCGATCTTTAATTTCTTGTCTATTCTCGTTATAATATCTTAATCTAGAGTTTGGTATTATATCTCGATTTTGCAAATAATATTCATGACTTCTAGCCGAATTTGCTTTTTGTAATTTTTCGTTCGTGATCGTGAATTGTGTTTCATGATTTATTAAAATTTCCTACATATTTTTTTTATACACTCTCTATGTCTTGTTTGCTTATTATCATCTATTTTTGGAATTATGACAAGTAAAAACTCATTCTTTATTTGGATTTGGACCCAAAAGATACTACCATACATATTTGAATTTGCAATCTAGTAGCTTTCAGGTTAAATTTTTAAATCAAAGTAAAATAAAAAATGACGTTTATAAAACCTTCGCGTTTGAATAAATACACATCTTTCATTCTCTACTATTCTCTTTTGTTTTCTTTTGGTTTTTGTGTGTGTGTGTCTATTAGAAATTGAGTGTAGAAATACACATAAAAAAGTTATTATTCACTCTTTGTGAAAACATTACTCTGGCTATCAAAGTATATCTATTTAAGAAGTAGTTCGTCGTTAACGCAAAAGTATCACATTCTGCATCCCTGATATAAAGTATGTATAGCGAAAAATATTAAGCATTTTAAAGTAAAGCAAAAAATTTCTGTAATTCGTTCCGGTAGAAAGTGGCAAAAATGGTGATTTCATGTCACAAAATTGAAACGATTTAAAAAAAAAAATTTTAGTCTTAAATTAAAAAGAAAAAATAAATTTAATTTATATGTATGTATGTATAAACTTTAAAAAATAATAAAAATAAAATACAGAGGTACCACATTTTTTCTACATAAAAATAAATGGTCACAACTTCGGAAACCCAACCCCATTATGTTATTGTATTAACACTTATATTATTGGACCAACACTAAAATAATAAAATTTATCAGTCATTTTTATAATTCAAGTATTTGTGTTTTATTAAGTACATTTATTTTAATTTTCTTTATGTAGTATAACATTATTTTATTATAATTCTGTTACTATGTTCAAATCAAAAAAATCAATTGTTATTTGTTGATACTTTTAATGAACAATGTGTAAAATTAAAAACGTGTAGTTCTGTCTTTAATGTTTCAATTTGTTTTAACAAGTTATAGTTATTTTCTTGCACTTTCTCAGCTAACTCAATTTTTCCACTACTTGAATCATTTAGAATTTCTGTGGTACTAATTTTATTGCTTTGAACCATCGATTCAATTACATCCGCATCTGTAAATGAGACATGAAACATTCAATAAAATAAGAAAAAACCATGTAATGTATTATAAAAACGCTTAAAATTTAAAAAAATTTGTAATTTATATCACTTATTAAGAAACCGATTAAAATAGAATCAAAATTTGGTTTTATAACGGCCCCTATTGCTGCAAACTCCTCACTTATTATAAGCCTAAATTGAGAAAAAATTTTAATCGAAACAATGAAAGGCCGCCAAGTGATAACGACTACAATATGATAGCAATAAGAGCACGGAATAAGAGCGAATATTTCAAAATAAAAGTAATGAAATTACGGTTCTGTAAAAAAATATTAAAATAATTATGTCTGTAATTGTTTTAATACATTTTTAAATATTAATAAAAACGTATGTATGTATGCTTCTAAATTACTCTTTTCTATTTCTAAATTACTCTTTTCACTCACATATTTTCACTCTTTCTAATATTTGAGAACATTTCTCTTTCTTAGAAAGATACTCTTCCTTATAAAATTCACTTTCTTTTTCTAGCCTTTTACAATTTACGCAATCAATATTTTTTTCTTCTTCATGTGATCGTCTTCTTTTTGGTCTCTCTCCGTTACTAGAACCTTTAAAATCAAAATATTTTATTACAATTCAATATTTTAAAAAATTTCGAAAATATCAGTAATACTGCTTTGCTGAGTTGTAAATGTCAAATTCAGCTAATAGACTGAATCACACATTAATACTTTATTATTGCAATTTTGAAGTGAGATAATGACTAACAAATACAACCCAAGAACATGTTCTTTTTTTGCAATTTGTACCTGTTATATTTTGCTGTATTATATTTGCTGTGGATTTTTCTTTATTATTTTGTTGCAGGGAATTGATTTTTTGAGAAATTTCATTTTGCTTGCCAAAAGTTTCCACTCTTTCTGAAAATTCATAAATTTGTAATCATAAAAATTTTTAATCTCTTTATAATTCACTGATTCAATATTTCCTTACCTCCTTCTGGTAAATTTGGTTTTTCTTCTATTTCGTCTTTGACTGAGATTAGGGGATCTTGCATGTGAAAAAGAAAAATTAATTCAACTCATTTCTTCCAATTTTTCTTTCTTACCTATTTCATTAACTGCTAAGGGATTATTAACGTTGACTAGACACTCAGTTGTTTGAAAAGGATCATCTACACTTTCTATTTCGATTTTTACTGGCAAATCCTGATTTTGTTCACAAACCTTCAAATCAGCCACTTATGTTGAATTAAATTGAATTTTTTGTATATTAAAATCTTTGTTTATTTTTGTTACTGTTCATTTACCTGGAAAAGTTGTTGGTAAATTTAAATTTTCTTCTATCCTATAGGAGGTTTCTTCTATTTCCTCTTTAATTGAAATCAATGGCTCTGTATGTATTTGATAACAAAATAAAATATTTTATTATAAAATAATTTTTCACGAAATTTTTCTATTATATTTCAGACCTGTTTCACTCTGTTTTGAACCTTCACCAAAGTCAAGTGAACACTCATTCTTGATTTGAATTTCATTATTTTTTTCCGTTTGAATTTCCGATTTCGAAAACTCTGGCTCTTTTTCCACTTCTTTTGAAATCTTTGATTCTGTGTAAAAAACAAATATTTTTCTAAAAATATTTTATTTGAATAAATGTGTGTGCACATATGTACACAAATATCCATATATATTTGAAAATAATAACATAAATCATACATTAATAAATACTCATACATTATACATACACAATATTTACATATTCGTTTCTTTTTAAAGTATGTTCTGAGCAGAGATGATACTTTACTAAAACTATATTAAATAATTCTACTACATTTTCGTAATTTAGTAGTACTATTTTTCATTCATTTTAATAACTTTTAATAAAAAAAATCATTTTCGCAAAATTTTTAATTTTACTTTCACTTTTAATTTCATTACTTATGAAACTACAAACAAATATTGTACATTTATTGTAGTGAACACCATAAGGCAGCAAAATTTGCAATTTGAAATTGCACACAAAGAAACTGCAATCGCAAATTACGACTTAAAAATTAGTTTATTTGTTACTTTTTCAGTTGCTGCCTGCCAATTATTACAGATTTTAACAATATCATTTTTTTTGCACTTTCCCAAAAAAAAAATTTAAAAAAGGTGCTGATTGGTTTCACTCTGTCCGTCCCGCCCGTCCGTCCGTCCGTTTAATATTGTTTTTTGTTTTATGCCTATATTTGTATATGAATGAAAATAATGTTAATATCGTACTACACAGATTGTTTTTAAAAGCGGTATTTTCACTTGTTGAAGGAAAAGGTGATATGTTATAAAACATTGGTTTGATCCAACTTTGTTTTTTTTTTTATTTTGTTGACACAGCCTTATTGTGCTAAAGATTTGACGTTTTTTAAATAAAGCGTTGAAAATTTTTGCAGTTATCAAATTTTGCAGTTTTGAAGTGCGGCCATATACATAGATATTTTTTTTTTGCTTAATTTTTTTTAAGTTTTCTTATCGTTTTTTTCAAATAAATTTTTTTTAATTTTTACAATTTTTTTTCAAATAGTACGTCTTTTTTATCAATTATGATATCTATGCAAATTTTGAAGCGCTAACCCTGGCCCTGAGTAGTGTAGATTACATAAGGTTAATAGTTGTTACAGTTATGTTTTTATACACAAAAACAAAATAAAAAATTTATTTGTAATAATATATCTATGTAAGTATAATATTCAAGCCTATTACCAACTACATTTTGTTGTGAACTACATTTTGTGTTTACTACTTCGATAGGAACTGAATCTTTTAATATCCTCCCTGTTTTACCCAGCGTTTTCCTCTTAAAATGTATTTCACATACACGAAAGTCACGCGAAAGACTTTTGCCAATTAAATCACATCTATTTAACTTTCTCAACCAAATTTCTCTCCTAAAAAGAAAATTCCGAAAATTTTATTTGAATTATTTTAAGAAGTACGTATGTATGTACCTCTCCTTATCTTTTGGCAATAAATGAAATTTTCGTTTCGGCTGTTTCTCCTCACTCTCAAATTTACATCCCAAACACTTCAAATAATGTTTACCCATTATTTTAAAATAACTTTTATTTTTTAAAACCCTTTACAATTTTTTTTTTATTATTTTATATTATACATAAATTATTTATATTTTTTTTTATTTTGATACTCAATATTTTTTTTTTAAATCGCTTCCTTTTTATAATATGAATATACGCTTTTTACCACCTTGTACTGGAATGATTTACAAAAAGAAAAATACTTTTAACATTCTCAATATTTTTGCCTATACTTTACATACGAAAACATAAGAAAGTACCGCATTTAAAAATACATTATAAAAAAATATATAGACATCTGTTACGAGTATGTACACTTCCCTTCTCTCAATAATACCGATATGTATAAAATTTTTTGTATACAAATATTGGTGAATGATTGCATTAGTGGTATGTAAACGGAGAGTAAAATTCTCAAATAAATTCTCTTTGGTGATATTTTGCTCTTATACATACATATGTATTATGTATGGGTGCGTAAACGATTTTTTAATTTGCAGAAGATTCGTAATTTTTTGCAGTTTCTGTTAATCAATTTTTTTGTTTTGAGAAGATTCGCTTAGCCAATAAATATTTTTATATTTTTATCTTATATTTCCAAATGTTACCTTATTTTATTTCGGACTTTACAATTTTCAATTTGCAACGAAATAACTATTGTTATGCGAAAATTACTTTGAAGAAAAGGTTAGGAAGAATGCGACTGAAGAATGAGACTATTCCTACTATATTTTATTATCTGAAACTAGTCCAATTACAGTGAATGAGTCACAACAATTATATGTAAATCATTAAAAAACCATTAGAAAACAATGATACAGATTTAATTAATCCAATACATGATATTACTTTTTGCAGGCATTGTTAAAAATTCAATTTTTATGATACTGTAATATATTTACATGTATTTACTAGTGTGATTGTACGAATGGAGTTTTTATAATACCACTCAAACATTCGTTTGTAGGGATATGACGCGGTAAAAATTTTTAACGCATTTGCCTTTGTACAAAAACACAAAATAAAAAATTTATTCGCAATAGTATATCTATGTATGTATGTATAGAATTCTAAACATATTACCAACTACATTTTGTTGTGAACCAATCAAGATTTTTTCGTGAATTTTTTCTTCAAAAAAAGTATTGTTCTTTGCTACTTCGACAGGAACTGCATCTCTTAATACCCTTCCAGTTTTACCCAGCCTATTCTTCGGAAAATGTATTTCACATACGCGATAGTCACGCGAAATATTTTTGCCAATTAAATCATATCTATTTAACTTTCTCAACCAGATTTCTTTCCTAAAAAGAGAATTAAGAAATATTGTAAGCATAAACAAATTGAAAATACTGTCGTTTAAAAGAACAAACCTCTCCACATCTCTTGGCAACAAATGAAATTTTCGTGTCGGCTTTTTTGCCTCACACACAATATTACATCCCAAACACTTCAAATAATGTTTACCCATTATTATAAAAAATTTTTTTTTTTCACAACTACTTAAAATTTTTTTTAATATTATACGTCTTTTAAAATTTATTTTTATTATTTTTCATATAAATTATAATAATTTTTTTTAAACACTTTTTTTCCGCTTCGCTTTTATAGTATGAATACACCTTTTTTGCCAATCTTGTACTGGAATGAATTACAGAAATTATTGTGTCGCTTTTAAAATTCTTAATATTTTTCTCTATACTTTATATACGAGCAAAAAATAAAGTGTCGCCTTTCAAAATACATTATAAAAAAACTATTGACATCTATTGCGTACTCTTTTCCTCTCCCAAAAATTCTTATGTGGATAAAAATGAAAATAAGAAGGTATACTGCTTAACTCTTTTTACTAAGGGAATTTTTTGTATACAAATATTGGTGAGTGATTGCATTAGTGTGATGTAAACGGAGAGTCGAACTACTTATTGTAAATATACTTTGGTATGCATGTATATAAAATTTAAAATAAGAAGGGAATTTTTTTATACCAACATTAATGGATGATTGCATTAGTGTTATACACGTGAGAGAGTCGATCTACTTCTTTAATCGATATACACTAATACCTAGATTTGCGACGTTTGATTTAACTACATTTCATATTACGTCAAAAAAAAAATTTGAAAATTTTTTTGTTTGTTTTCACAATAAATACTCTGTTTGTACTGTATGCTGGGTGTAGCATATTAACATTGGAAACACGTTAAAGTCAATTATAAAAAAGAAAATCCCATATAAAATATTTGCAGCCATTGGCATCTCCATCTACACATCCAACAACATAATCTAATACCGCGTCCCCAATAAATTCTGATTCTTTGATAACATTAAAAATTCCAGATTCTAAAAGTATTGAATGCTGTTTTTTCCAATTTGAATGAATTTTTTCTTTTTTGAAATTACTACGTTTTTCAATTTGAAAAATCTATTTGTTTTTCAATTTGTATGAATTTTTTATTTTCATTTTAACAATTCTTTTAATTTTTTGTATTAATAAATAAATTTTTAAAAAAGTTAAAAATGCTTTGATTTAGAACAAGGGCGTATCTTTAATATTTCAGTGCAATTTAGTGCAATATTTCAGTGAATTACGACGAATTTTTTGGGAACCAATTATTGTCGCATCGCGAGGTATTGGTGTATTTTGTTTTTTAGATTAGCGCATTTTTTTGTATAAAAATGTTGGTGGTGAATAATTGCATTAGTGGTTGTAAACGAAGAGTCGAAACTGTATCTCTTGAATGGATATATTTTGTATACCCAAGTATAAAAAACTTCACAAGGTGGCAAAATTGTTTATCTACAATCTACATTATAAAAGTGAAGCGATTTGAGTGTTAAAATAATAAAATATTTTAATTTATATATGAATGATTTTAAAAGTAATAAAAAAAACAAATATAATTAAAAAAAATTGAAATTTGTAAATTGTCAATAAATGGAATAATATAAACTATAAGTTTTATGATTTTTATTTCTGGCTTGCCTTTGTAAACAAAGCCAACCATTGAATAATGAACCATTGGGCATACACATTTTTATTCTACTTTATTCTATACCACTAGTACTATTTCATCGTACTGTGTATCTACTGTACTAGGTACATGCATATGTGCAAATGTACAATATAAAAATGCATGAAATTTTGAACACATATTTACTGCTTTTATACATTCGAATGTTTTACCTTACTCTTATGATATTGAAAATAAATTTTGTTTTTATAAGATAAAAATAGCAAAATTTCTACATAATTTAATTTTATTTTATTTCAGCTCGTTATTTTTGATACACTCGTTTGTTTGTTTTTGTTTCTTTCTTCTTTCATTGTCATCTGTTTTTAAATAAAAATTAGATATTTTGAAAATAGTAGAAATGTCACATTGCACACAAGCGAAAATGGTTTTGAGAGAGTCAAAATATTTCTTGAATAGTATGTACATTACACATACTTTGACACAAATATATATTTGTTTGATAGATTGCTTTAGTGGTAGGTAAACGGAGAGTCGAACTACTTTTCTACTAGATATACATAGGAATTTTTCGGAGAGGGAAATAAGATACGCAATAGATGTCTACCTGTTTTCTACAATGTATTTTTAAAGGCGCACAAGAGCATTTGTTTCGCACATAAAATATAGGGAAAAATATTAAGCATTTTAAAGGCGTACAAGAGCATTTCTATAATTCATTCCAGTACAAGGTAGCAAAAATGGTGTATGCATATTATAAAAGCAAAGCGATTTAGAAAATTGAGTTTTAAATAAAAAAATAATTATAATATATAAATATAATTTTAAAAATAATAAAAGTAAATTTTAAAAAGACAAAGAATATTAAAAAAAAATTAAATAGTTGTGAAAAATAAAAATTATTTTATAGTAATGGGTAAACATTATTTCAAATGCTTAGGTTGTAATTTGGTGTGTCATGCGAAAAAGCCGATACGAAAATTTCATTCTTTACCAACAAATAAGCAGAGGTATTTTTGTAAATTTTTTAAAGCACAATCACTTCAAGTGATTTAATTGAAATCTACGCATTCGATTTTCGTTTATTCTTATCTTAGACCTGTATTTGGTTTTTAGGAAAGAAATCTGGTTGAGAAAGTTAAATAGATGTGATTTAATTGGCAAAAATATTTCGCAAGATTATCGTGTATGTGATATACATTTTACGAAGGATTCACTCAGTAAAACAGGAAGGATAATAAGAGATTCAGTTCCTATAGAAGTAGTAAAGAAAAATACGTTTTTTGAAGAAAAAATTGAAAATAAAATCTTGAATAGTTCACAACAAAATGTAGTTGGTAATATGCTCAGAATTCTGTACATAGAAATACCACTGGAATAAATTCATAATTTCATATTTTATTACGATTATATATATATATATGCGTGTGTACATGCACTCACATTAACTAAAATAAAATATTTTTAGAAAAATATTTGTTTTTCACACAGATTCAAAGATTTTACAAGAAGGGAAAAATGACCCAGAATCTTCTCAAACAGCAGGTACCCCTAACACACAAATCTCGAAAATTCAAGCGGAAAAAATTAATGAAATTAAAATAAAGAACGAGTGTTCATTTGATATTGAAGAAGGTTCAAAACAGAGTGAAATAGGTCTGAAATATACATAAATGAAATTAATATTAATTGTTAATAGTAATTACATAATTGTGTTAAAAATTATTTTAATATAAAATAATTTCCTTTGTTGTCAAATACATGCAGATCCATTGATTCCAATCAAAGAAGAAATTGAATCAACACCCTATAGAATAGAAGAAAATTTAAATTTACCAACAACTTTTCCAGGTAAATGAACAGTAACAGAAAAACAAAGATTTTAATATAATTATAATAAAAAATAATTTTAATTCAACATAAGTGGGTGATTTGAAGGCTTGTGAACCAAATCAAGATTTAGCAATAAAAATCGAAATAGAAAGTTTAGATGATCCTTTTCAAACAAATGAGTGTCTAGTAAACGTTAATAATCCCTTAGTAGCAAATGAAATAGGTAAGAAAGAAAAAATAGAAGAAATGAGTTGAATTAATTTTTCTTTTTCACATGCAAGATCCCTTAATCTCAGTCAAAGACGAAATAGAAGAAAAACAAAATTTACCTGAAGGAGGTAAGGGAATATTGAATCAGTAAATTATAAAGAGATCAAAAATTTTTATAATTACAAATTTATGAATTTTCAGAAAAAGTGGAAACTTTTGGTAAGCAAAATAAAACTTCTCAAAAAATCAATTTCCTGCAACAAAATAAGGAAGAAAAATCCACAGCATATACAATACAGCAAAATATAACAGGTACAAATTGCAAAAAAAGAACATGTTCTTGAATAATATTTGTTAGTCATTATCTCACTTCAAAATTGCAATAATAAAATATTAATGTGTGATTCAGTCTATTAGCTGAATTTGACATTTACAACTCAGCAAAGCAGTATTACTGATATTTTCGAAATTTTTCAAAATATTGAATTGTAATAAAATATTTTGATTTTAAAGGTTCTAGTAACGGAGGGAGACGAAAAAGAAGACGATCACATGAAGAAGAAAAAAATATTGATTGCGAAAATTGCAAAAAGCTTAAAAAAGAAAATGATTTTTATAAGGAAGAGTATCTTTCTAAGAAAGAGAAATGTTCTCAAATATTAGAAAGAGTGAAAATATGTGAGTGAAAAGAGTAATTTAGAAATAGAAAAGAGTAATTTAGAAGCATACATACATACGTTTTTATTAATATTTAAAAATGTATTAAAACAATTACAGACATAATTATTTTAATATTTTTTTACAGAACCGTAATTTCATTACTTTTATTTTGAAATATTCGCTCTTATTCCGTGCTCTTATTGCTATCATATTGTAGTCGTTATTACTTGGCGGCCTTTCATTATTTCGATTAAAATTTTTTCTCAATTTCGGCTTATAATAAGTGGATAAGGAGTTTGCAGCAATACGAGTCGTTATAAAAGCAAATTTTGATTTTATTTTAATCGGTCTTTTAATAAGTTTTCTAAATTACAAAATTTTTTAAATTTTAAGCGTTTATATTATACACTACTATACTTTTGTCTTATTTTATTGAAAGTTTCATATCTGATATATAGGTGCAGATACAATAGAATCGATAGTCCAAAGCAATAAAATTCTAAATGATTCAAGTATTGGAAAAATTGAGTTAGTTGAAAAAGTGAAGGAAAATAACATTAACTTGTTCAAACAAATTAAAACATTAAAAACAGAAATAGACGTTTTTAATTTTACACATTGTTCATTAAATGTATCAACAAATGACAATTGAATTTTTTTTGACTTGGTAACACTGTTATAGAATTATAATAAAATAATGTTATACTACATAAAGAAAATTAAAATAAATGTTAAGCATACAACATAAAAATTTTTTCTAATAAATGAATTGTAAAAATTACTTGCAAATTTTTATTAATTTAGTATTAATCCAATAATAAATGTTTTTTCCGATACATTTATTATTTTCCTTTCAAATTCTACATACAAACATATGGATGCCATAAGAACTCTCCCTACTGTAGGAATAGGTATATGAACAAGGCAATAAATAAATTTTGAGCAAATTTATAAAAATAATAAAAAAGTGAGAAAAGAATATTAAAAATTGAGTTAACAGAACACTTA